GGGGGGTGGGGGGGTCCCCCCCCCCCCAAAAAAAAAAAAAAGAAAAAGGATTTTTTTTCTTTCCACAGAGATCTGTCTGAGAATAATGTTTGTGCTGTGGGGACTCCTCTCTGGGTACAGGTTTTTTTCCAAGGAAATTTGTGACAGCGATGAGGTCAGGATCCCAGAGTGTATCATGCAAAAGGCTGTCCATGACAGTCCCTGTCTGCCCTTCTCAGGGTGATGTAATCCGTACTCAGTAATAATGTCTTCCAAGAGGTGGATAACAGCATTTTAGTTCAGCTCTAATAATTCTGTTAAATCAGAGCTGGGGTTGTAATTGCTATTTGTGACTGAGTTTGTTCCATATGTGTGTTATGCAGGATGCCATTGTAATGAAATGTTCCCTCTTTGAGTTGTATGCCCTAAAGAATATGCCTTTATTCTGTGGCAGGCAAAACACTCATCTGCTCTCTGCCTCTGCTGTGCCTCATAACCAAAGGAGAGGAAAAAAAAAAGTTGTGTTTTGCCTTGTTTCAATTTCTTCTGGAAATTCTAAGTTGTGTAAGTGTTAGACTTCATTTGCTTTGGTAACACACAGCCTTGCTGGACTCCTGTTCATTTCTTTTAATGAAAAAGCCTGTGAGCCTGTGTGCATCCGAGGGTTTACAAGCATTAGAGCACACGGATATGAGTGTAAGCAAGAACAGGGAGTGTGAGAGCAGGAAAAGCCTCTTCCTGGGAGTCAGGCACGATGCTCCGAAACAGCATTTTAAATTTTATCCTAAATGTGAGAAATAGACCTTAGAGATGTAGAATCTCCAGAGAAATACCGTATTAAATGGTAGCATGCTCTGCGCCATGAGATCAGGTAGGTGGGTGGTTGCTTTGCTTTGGAAGTCATGCATGCTGTGAGACTCCATCATAATAAAATCTGGCTCCTGTACAGTGATTTTCATTCACAGATCTCCCTGTGCATTGCAGGCAGAGTAACTCCCTTTACAAACAGGGACACACAGGTGCGTGGAGGGGACACAGCCGCTCTGCAGGCCAGCTCAGTGGCTGGTTGAATGCTGACACTGGTTGTGATCGTACACAGCTACCAGCAAGCCCCAGAGAGAGTTAATACGCGCTAGCTGGGTAGGACACCTGGACATGGTAAACCAGCAGACGGCAGCTAATTCCACCCAAAGCGTGAGCTGTAAAACAGGGAAAGTGTGTGCTGGGAGCCCGAGGACATGAGCATGCTGGGCTGTGCTGCCTTGCCTTGCTCGCAACGCTGGTCTGCTGCTCTTGCTCTGTCTGACCTCTTTTAGGTCTCAGGTGCTGCCTCTGGGTCCTGGGTTTCAGCTCCCTGATGACTGCAGCCCATAAGTCTTGTATGTGCTCCCAGGGAAATGCCACACCAAAAGGCAGCTTTGGTCTGATGTGATCTCACATGGGGGAGGAGGGAGAGCAATGTGAATAATGCCTGTAGACGGCAGGTACCAGATAGCGATCAAACTGTCCCCACCTCATTTATACACCAGGTCATCTCAGAGATCTCCATTTTATTGTGTGCTTGGGGTTCTGCAACAGCTCCATGCCCCCACCCTGGCCCTGCAGGCAACACTGCCAAGGGGCAGGCACCACACCTGGGCTGGTGCAGCCTCCAGCACCAGAAAGGGCTCAGGGGAACCTTGCAGGGTTTGAAAGAGAGGTCCCTTCTGTCTGGAATGGCAGAGTTTGGTTGGTTGGGTGTTGATCGGCAATAAAAATCCCCAAAGTCTGAAATGAAGTGCAGATCTGTCCATTTACACTTGTTTTTCACAGAATTAGGCCATTTTTAGCTCTTTCACTGTAGGGCAGAGGGAAACACCAAGATTCAGCCTACTAAAAGCGATGACCCTGGGTAAGTTCTAGGGGCTCCTTCTAAGCCCACAGGACAGGTATCTCCATCAGCAGCTCCGCTTGTGGTTGAACCCCCTTTTGGCAGGGCCGATCCCTCTCCAACTGTGGATAAACTCCCAGCAGCAGAGTAAGAGCACACACAGCTGAAGGTAGGCAGGAGGAAAACAGCCCCAAACGGGAAGAAAGCAGGGGTGTTTTCTGGTCTGGCAGAACCCTGTCTGCAGTTCCACTGCTCTTCAGCCTTGCCTGCTTATGCTTGAGCTTCTTTAGCTCTGCTGTGGCTACCAAGCACGTGCATTTTGTTAAGGTACAAGGGAGCATTCACTTCCAGTGTGAGCCATGTCAGTCAAGGAGTGATTATGAAAAAGTCTGTTCAGATAATGGCACCGGAGCTTGGCCCGCCAGCAGCCTCCAAGGTGCTTCCAAAAGTAAAAGCTGTGTCCCAACATTTTTATGCTGGGAAGCCAAGAGAAATGATCACAAGCAAGCAGGAATTAAAAAAAAAAATAAAACAAATGTAGCATCCTATAATGTATCTGTAAAAAGGGAAGACTTGTGCTACTTGAAGTCTATAAATGCAAGTTTCTCGTGGGAAAACATAACTCCTGTTCAAATGCTAATGGGTTGTTATCACAGGAATGTTTTAATTTAACTGCTCTGTACTATAAGAAGGGGCAGAGCAAGGTTCAAAGAGCAAATGGCTGATGAGCAATCTTCAATCTGCCAGTAAATGTTTGCTTTTTTTATATATATACTTCCCCTTATTGATCTCTGTCTTAAACAGATTCTCCAAAGGGACATATAAAAGACAGCTGATTTCAGCTAGAGGTAATAGCACATATTTCTTTTATCCTTGTTTAAAACAGTAAATTTATAGCACTGATAGAGTGTCAGTCACCAGAGTAGCTGGCCCTGAGAGCATAGAAATTAATGTTATATGAGAAAAAATTGGCTTACTGGAAATAAAAAATGCAGCACATTTTAGAAAAGTGGTAGAGAAAAAGAAAGTGAATTGGGCATTGCAGCCACAAACCATCTCTGCAGGCTTCTTGGGAAAAGAGCAAACATCTCATGAAGTAAGAATAGCTCCAAGGGTCTCCAAGGAAAACATCTGCCACCCATTTACAGGAACACAGAAGCCAGAGCTTGCAAGAGGTGGGTAGGAAGAAGAGAGAAAGAGCCCATGATCTTTCTTGTGGAAGCAGAAAATACTTTTTTTTTTTTGGAAGCTCTCTTCTCAGTCAATTTATGGGTGGATGCCTCCACATTTGAAGGTTTTTGCTACCACCTTTACTATAACTGTAAGAAGAAAGCTGTCTTGCTGCTAACACTCCAAAACCTGTAGAAACACTACAGGGGTTAGGGTTTTGAGAAGTTTACAGGGAGCGCTTGACTGACCTTGACCAGAGAAAAATATGTGAGAGAAGGGAGTGGGATGCTTTTTCTATTAGATAGGAATAAACATTTGTCGGGAGTCTCAGCATCTTCTGCCTGCCATATCTGAGCCTCTTCTGAGGATCTTCAACGTGCTCATGTGATGGCAAGGTCTGTGCTAGGCTCTCCTGGCCAGGCAGTGGCTGGTGTCCTCCCTGAATGGGCAGTGGGGTTTGGACCCTGCTCAGATCCATTGCCGGGCAGAACAGTGGGACATTTTGGGACAATTTAGACCTTGGGGGGAGTGTTTACCCTCAGCCCTCTCATATGCAAGGTGGACTCTGATGACAGGACTAATGGCCTGCAAAATCAGTAGCAGCTGACCAGGATACTGGGGTGAGAATGACTGGCTAAAAAGGAAAGAGGAAAACTTTGCAGACTGATCAGATTTCAGTCTCTGTTCCTGTTAGTTTTCAGAGTGTTGCCAGAGAGCCTGAAAGTGTGTGAGAACAAATGGCACTAGGTCTCAGTGTTTGAAAAATAGTAAAGGGCTGTAGCATCTGTCAGAGGCAATGTGAGCCAGCCAGAACGTGGCCCCAGGCTGCATTTCCACCTGGATCCCTGTTGCCCATTTGGCCCTCCCCACAGCTTCCTGACTCAGCTCTCCTCTTCGAGTGCCGTGAGCTGGACCATCTGCCGTGCTGGATTTCCAGCCACCACGGCTCAGAAGAACAGTGATGCATCATGGGCTTGTGCAAAAAGGCATGGAGAAGGTAGAGATTTAACAGGGACGGAGCTGCATTCCGAGGCCCTGAGGCTGCCTTACTTCCCTCCCCCTCCCGTATCTTATCTTTGCCTCTTTCTAAAATAAAAGGAATAGAAAAATTAACAACATGAAAAAGGGAGGAGATGATAAAGAGTATCTGAAAAATTATCTATGTCCTCATTTCAGGGCTTTGCATGGTAACAGGGAGGCAGAAGGCCTTTTTCTCTATTAATATATTAAAATATTAAAAAGCTGTGTGTCTACTGAACTTACTCTGTTGTCACGGACTGAGAAAGCTCCTAGGAAGTGTTCTGCAGAAGACTCTTGCACTTGAGAAACTATCCACAGATGCCATTCAAGGACCAGAGCAAACCAAAGTTAAAAGGCAAAGTTTGCTATCATACCGTTAACGGGGACTGGGGTCCAGCCTGGACAAGAGTGATAGTTGCACCTTTGCTTTTGTGCTGAGACAAAATATCTACCAACGGGACATGAAGGCTCTCAGGGATCTGGCTGGAATGGGGAAGAAACAAAGCCACATTTCATCTGATTTCCTTTAGTTCCTTAGTCCTGAAGGTTTGAGTGAGACCAGTTCCTTGGGAGTGCTGCTCCTAGCAAACCTGAATCTGAGCCAGTGATGATCAAATTTCCCGGAGAGTGGGGTGTTTGGTTTGGCACATTAGTGGTTCCCATATCAGAATCCATCCATCCCTTGGCAGTTATCAGAATATGCAATTGTTCTTCTTCGTAAATCTTGGCCAATAAAGCAATAAGTCTTTGATGCTGCCATAGCTGTGGTGTTCTGTTATACCCTCTACTTGCCATTAATAATGTAACCATGTGGTGGGGCCTTGGTACTCATACATGAGGGTGACAGCAGGGCTGTATCACATATATGTGTGTGTATACATATGTACACAAACACATACACTGAATAAAGGTTTCTTTGTTTTCTTTTCCTTGGCAGGTCCCTATGGAAAGGATATTTATCGAAGTGGAGGGCCAGATCTCCATAATTTCATCTCCTCCGGGTTTGTCACATTAGGAAGAGGACACACGAAGGGTACAGTGGAAACAATTTTTTGCTAAATAAAAAGATTGTTTTAAATAAAAAAAGCTATAGCTCAGAAGCTGGGTTCTAAGTGCTATAAGATAACAGTATCGGACTGCAGTCAGTAGATTTAGTCTAGCAAATATTGCTGCAGGTAAAATACCGTGCTCCTGGCAGAACCTTTTAAATCCTAGCAAGGGAGACGGTGGGAGAGTGTAGAGTCAGCCAGCCAGGCTCCAGACTCCACTCTGACTTTGCAGCTCACCAATTTATACTGCTTTGTGTTTTCCTGGGTGCATGGTTCCAAGCCACCATTGTGCTGCTGTACTTACAAGGGGAAGGGGCAGGCGTCTCATGCTGTCCTAGGGCAGGCAGTTAACACTTCAAGAATGCATTTCTGGATTTTTTTTTTTGTTTTTTTGTTTGACTTCTGGGCTTTTTGGGGGGGCGTATTATGAATATTTTATAAAATTATTTCTTTTTAGGTCCTAAAACATATATTTTATGTGTTCATATAATCTGTGATATAATGTACAAACATGAAAACACAAAAATATACATATACTGCTCTGTGTATGTTCTGTGTATATGTACTGTATATAAAATATATGTTGAGATATAGTTGTAGCTATATTAGATAAGTAACCGTATATCCCAGGAGTTGTGGTGACACAAAAGCTGTGAGATCTGACTCAAAGGAGCTGGTCACCAGAACCCCAGATGAATGTTCATTTTATGATGTTGTTGCATATTTGGTGAGTTTTTATAGTGTACAGTGAGACTATGTTTGGAGCATCTTTCTGTTCACCCCCACACCCTGACCGAGTCACACTGGTGCACTGGCAAGTGGGTTGCGACACTGGGAGTGCAAGCATGTGCCATGCCAGTACCCATCTGGTTTTGTGTCCTGCTGATTTCTGAGACTGTTGTACATTTATATAGACACAATGTATGTGGAGATACTTATATAGACACAATGTACTGTATGTGGAGTTGTGTCCATGTGCTCGCCTGGTTGAATGCACCTGTGTTGTTTCTGTGGATGACCATGACTCACAAATTATTAAAAGACCTTTATTTTTTCGTACATTTCCTGCACTTTTTCAAAATCTCCACGAGTGTCATCCGAAGCAGTGTTGGTCCTGTAGAACTGTCAGAGAAGAAACAAATATATGTATATTGTCTGTGTATGTCTGTGTGTGTTTAAATAAAGTTTACTGAGGCTGAGGCAGCACCCGTGGGACTTGTAATACAATACCCTGCAATTCCAGCCTGGCACTGCACTGATGGAAGGAAAGCAGAGAAAACTGCCATGAACCTTCATGTGGGCTGGAAACTGAAATGGTTCAAGGAAGGACTCATGGATGGCATTTCACACAAAGTCTCCCTTGCTCCCCCCCCCCCCCCCAAGAGTTTTACAGTCATGTCGTTATCACGTCAGGTCTGACAGTATGATTAGGGTGAGATAGGAAGTGTACCCCAGTAAAGGCCTGGTCTACAGTGTGGCGTGTCCTGATAGCCTTCATCAAGCACATGGATAAACCCAGGCAGGGCCGTGAAACCTGCCTCTGTCTCAGCCATTTGAATTATCTTCAAGCAACTTTCCATACAATATGCTTTTCCCAGTTCCTTCCCAGATAAGAATAAAACCTCCTTGCTTTCTTTAACTGAGAAGTCCTGGGGGCTCTGTTATTCCATAGACGGGCCAGTGGTTTTCACAGCTTTTCCACTGGCTTTGCTGGAATCGCTACAGAGCACATTTCCTATCCCTGGGAAGGTGGGAGAATGGGCAATGGGAGTCCAGGCTGTTTGTACCCACCTCTTCCAACAGCTGTCAGATAGGGTGGTGCTTTCCAAAGTGAACAAAGGACTTTTATTATCAGAAGAAATTACACTATATCTTGGCTGTTTATGGGCATAAAAGAATGGATTGGCCTTTGAATTTACTTTTCAGCTACCTATATATTCACATTTTATTTGAACAGTACCACAAAGTTAACTTCTTAATGGTAAATTCACACACCCACTCAGGACTGGTGCAAGTGATTAATGTCTCTACACATTCTGCAGGCCTTGTTTGCTTGTACAAATGTGTGGATTTGTCTTTGTCTGCGATACAATTTGATTGCCTATTTGTGCTGTGAAAGCAGGGACTTTGGATGTAACAAATGACTTAGGTGCCCTATCATTAGGTTTGTACCCTGTATAACATTTGGTTATTTCTGGAAATATTACACAGCAGATTTCCGGTGTTCAGTTTGAACGGGCAACCCAGTTGTACTTGTAGTCAGGAGAGGTGAGTGCTCCAGCAAGGGCTGTAGTCCTGAACTTTAGCTGAGCAACTTCACACTCAGATTTTGTCCTATTTCAGTTCCAGTGTGTGTGTTAAAATCTCCACGTCAGCTACCATTAGCCAAATAACCTCGTCCTGCCTTGTTGAACATCACCATGGAAGAGGGTTCTGCTTTTAGACTGAACAAAGCCAATGAAGTTTATCTCAATATTTCTTTGCACTGGGAGACACATTTTTAGTGTTTTCTCAACTGTCTTCTGTGTTGTGGCAGAACTCCAAGTGCTGAGTAATATTTAAAAGCTAATCTATTTTCGGCAGAAGACAAAGATGTGAGACATGCCAAACTACCATGGATACCAAATCAGCATATTCACATGTCTGACATCCACAAGCTCCTGCAAGATTGTGATTTATGGTTCTTATATGACACTCCATTGGGCAATGCATCACTGCCTGGCATTTAAGTCTATAAAATCACTACATAGGGTGTTCTTCAAACCATGGTAAAAGACTGCACTGTCAGTCTGTCATGATGATCTAGGAATGAATCCAAAGTCTTTAAGCCATAGAAAGTCTCCATGGTGAGACACATGGCAGGGCTAATCTCATCTAACAATAGATAGGTAGAAATTAGACATTTTATTCTGAGGTGGTAGCCTTCAATTCCATGTAGAGACACCTGGGAGACACCAGCACCTCTAAGTGTTAACTGGATCGTCACTGGGCACCTCTTACCCCCCTCTGGCAAGAGGGGACCCATTGGGGCTAGGTCTTTTCGCCATCAGAAGAAGGCAGATGAATCCCTCCTGCACTTGCTTGTGTAGCTACTATTGCTCCAGCTGCTGTGGTAGCTGCTGTGAGAGTTCAGTGCTCCAGTGAAGCAAGTAGGAGCACAGAAGACAGGAGCTATCGCATCCCTCTGTGCACTAACCTAATTTAAAAAAACCAGCTTCTTCAACCTATTCTCTCTCCGAACATCTTGCTACTCTCAGATGTCCCATGTCAATACTACCCTAACGTGGACCGTGCTCACTGTCCTGCCAGGGCTCTGCAGAGCTCTGCTCAGTCACTTACACAGCTGCAATGCAACATGGAGCAAGCACCCACATGGATATTCAACCACAGGGAGTGAACAAGTCTTGAAGGGCAGTAAATTTGCTCCAGATTAACTACTCCAGATCATAACTGTTGAGTTTTCAGATAAAAATGTAATTTTTATTTTGTTTTTTTACTACCAGCCTCAGACCTTGAAAAATAGTTTCCAAATGGAATTGGGCTCCTTGTGTTTCACCGTTCTGTGACAGCAGTAGAAATTCTGTAGAGCAGATGATAAGCTCACTTCATCACTAAACAAATTCTTTGTTTTCCTGGTGACTCTGCAACAGTATTAAAGATAGTGAGTTGTTTTGCTGGAAAAGCGTAATTTCCCAGCTGAACTGAGTGCTAGGCATCAGGGAACAGTGAGGCAGGAGGAATATGGGATTGTAGATTCCTCCACTGCAAAGTCATCTCATAGGGAAAAACAGGACTTATCCTACAATCTGCTGGTTTCTTCTAAGTTTACAACAGATTCTTGAGGAGGTGCAGTGGTAGGTCTGCAACTTGAAAAGCATGTGTGGAAAACTCAGGAAAGGTCAAATTGTCCTCACCGTCTGCCCAAGAACACTTTCAGAAATGGACCCTCTCACTTACGGTTCAAGGCTGCAAATCCTTACTGTTCCAAGATTCACTGGGAGATGTGCTCTGAGTTAAGGCATCTGCAGGAGTCTCTTTTCTTCAAGTATCCCACTAAAATTTGCAGCTAGAATGTTCTCCAGAAGTACCAGTAGGCAGGAAAAAAAAATGAACCATGTATCCAAGTCAGTGTGATGGGGCTGTTAAAGCCTGACTATGTTACTGCTGGCATCCCCGTGGAGTTGCACCAGCATCCTGCATTGTGGGCAATGTGAAAACAATGTTGGTACAGAGAAGCCAGCCTGGTGACTGAGCAATAAAAGCTGCCTGTCACATTTTATCTTGTGATTTTTAGTGCAGGTGTGGCAAGATTTACAGCCTGAATGTGGGATTTACCTACCTGGGCCTCTGTTCTCACTGTCCGTCAGTGTGGTTGCACCTCATACCTCCGCAAAGTGGCTCAGGGCGCTTTTGATGGTACAGCCCTTCATATGAGGTACAGCTGTCCAGCCCAAGCTGATTTTGTTTGAGCACATGGGCTTGGTGTGTGGGAACATTGTACATGTCCTTTAGCAGGACCTTACACCCAACTAGACATCGTACTCCCCGATACAGCTTCCCCCTTTGGCATCTCCTGATAAATATCCCACTCCCTGTTACCTGAAATGATGCACAGCATCCACGTGCAGGCAGAGGGGAAAGTGAGAGCTCAGCTGTTGCTGACTTCTTGCTTTTTCACAGTTGACAAAATCTCCCACAAATCAGCTTTTTTTCAATCATGTTCAAAAGGAGAAAATTGATCATGATCTAGTCCCACCTTAGAAAATGATCACCTTTCTCTCCCAGGCCATGCACACGTGCATGAGTTGTTTTGAGGACAGACAGACCATGGTGCCAGAGCAGTGGAAGATGGTTACCACATGGGTGCGAGGCTTGGAAGCTGCAGGGGTTTGTGAGAGTGACAGGAGACACGGTAACATCAGGATGGGAGGCAGAGCTGACAAGCTTGAGGTAGCAGCGGAGTCTGGTGGCTCCTTCCCACTTG